GAAAAAAGAAAGCATCTTCAACACATGGGTGCTAGCATAACTGGATGCTGACATGTAGAAAATTACAGATAGATCCATATCTATCACCATGCACAAAACTTAAGTCCAAATGGATCAAAGACCTGAACATAAATCCAGCTACACTGAACCTCATAGAAGAGGAAGTGGGAAGTACCCTTGAATACATTGGCACTGGAGACCACTTCCTCAATGTAACACCGGTAGCAGATACTGAGATCAACAATTAACAAATGGGACCTCCTGAAACTGAGAAACTTTTGTAAGGCAAAGGACACAGCTAAAAAGTCAAAAGAGCAGCCTACAGAATGGGAATGTATCTTCACCAACCCCACATCTGACAGAGGGTTGATCTGTAAAATATACAAAGAACTCAAAAAGCTAGTCAGCAAAAAACCAAATAAGCCAATTTAAAAATGGGTGAAGATATAAACAGAATTTTCAAAAGAAGAATCTAACATTGTCCAAATGCCCTTAAGAAATTGCTGAGCATTTTTAGCCATCGGGGAATTGCAAATCAAAACAGCTCAGAGACACCATCTTATACCTGTCAAAATGGCTAATGACATGTTAAAACGCTAATGAAAGCATATCCGGGAAAGGATTTGGAGTAAAGGGAACACTTATCCATTGCTGGTGAGTTTACAAGCTTGCACAGTCCTTTGGAAATCAATATGGCAGTTTCTCAGAAAATTGGAAATCAATGTACCTCAAGACCCAGTAATACCACTCTGGAACACATACCCAAAGAATGCACACTCATACAACAAGGACTTTGTTCAACTATATTCATAGCAGCATTATTTGCAATATCCAGAACCTGTAAGCACCCTAGATGCCCCTCAACTGAGGAATGGGTAAAGAAAATATGTGGCATATTCACAGTGGAGTACTACTCAGCAGTAAAATCAGGACATCTTGACATTCACAGGCAAATAGGTGGAACTAGAAGAAACCATCCTGAGTGAAATAATCCAGACACAGAAATACAAACATAGTATGTACTTACTTATAAGTGGATATTAGACATAACTCAAAGGATAACCAACCTATGGTCCACAACACCAGAGAAGCCAGGAAACAAGGAAGTCCCTAAGAGAGACATATATTGACATCCACCACTGAGAAGGGAAAATAGTGTATATCTCCTGAGTAAATTGAGAGCCTTGGCAGAGGGGGAGGGTAGTAGGAGAGTGGGGAGGGGAGAAAGGGAGGAGAACATGAGGGATCAGGTAGGTCAAGTTGAGAGAAGAGCAGAGAGGGAAAGCAAGGAAAAAGATACCTTGATAGAGGGAGCCATTATGAGGTTTTCGAGAAACCCAGCACTACAGAAATTCCCAGGAATTCACAAAGATGACCCTAAGGAATAATCTAAGCAACAGTAGAGAGGGTACCTTAACTGCCTTTCCCTATAATCAGAATGATGACTACCTCAAATGCCAACATAGAACCTTCATCAAGTAATTGATGTAAGCAGATGCAGAGATCCATAGCTAAATACTAAAACAAACTCCCAGAATCTAGTGTAGAAAAGGAGGAGTGATAAAATGAGCAAGGGAGTTAAGTCTGTGCTGTGGAAACCCACAGAAATAGCTGATCCAAGCAAGTAGGAGTTCACTGACTCCTGACTAATTGTTGGGGAACCTGAATAAGATCAATCTAGGCCCCTGAATGTGGGTGACAGTAGGGGGACTTGGACATTTTATGGAGTTGCTGGAAATGAAACCAGCATTTATCCCTAGTTCATGAACTGGCTTTTTGGTGCCTATTGCCTGTGGAGGGATTCCTTGTTCATCAAAGATACAATGGGGAGTGCCTTGGTCCTGCCCTAAATGATGTGATACACTTTAATGATTCCTCATTGAAGGCCTCACCCTCTCTGAGGAGCAGATGGTTGGTGGAATGGGGAGATGGTGGGGGTAGTGTGAGGAATGGAGGGAGAGACAACTGGGATTTGTGTGTAAAATAATAATGTTTAAAAAGAATTAAATTTTAAAAAGAAAGAAAAGAAATCCAGTTGCAGGGTTACCAATAGAATAATTGCTAAAGAAAATGTGCTACATCTGTACAATGGAAATTTTATTTATCTGTAATAGGGAATGAAAATATGTTATTTGAAGGAAAGTGGAATTGAAGATCATTATGAGCAGCAGAAAATTTCAAGCTCAATATCAAATACTGTAGATTTTCTCTTATATGTGGTACGTAATTTAAATTTATATGTGCCTTCTACATGCATGTGAGTTTAAGACATGAATTAGCATGGTACCTACTAATGGTGGAAAGAACTCTAAAAAGGAGAGGACAGGGGGAACCAAAATTACAAGGGAATATAAAAATTATGAAACAGCAGAATGATTTGGTACAGGGATTGTACTAGACAGAGTAGGAGAGTGGTAGGAAAGGCCAGTGGGCATGAACATAAGAGCAGAGAATAATGGCTAAAATGTAAATAATTAAAAATATCATAGCAAACTCCATTATTTTGCACAATGACTGAAAATTATTATAAAGTTGTGTAAGTTCAATAATCAAAATTCTTGAGAAGAGGTGTAGATAACTAATCCTTATCAGAAAAAAAAAAACACCTTGTTTTACAAAATGCAGCTGAAGAAAGACACCATGGGGCTCACTCCTGTAATATCAACACATGAGATGTAGGCAGGAAGACAGGATCTCTAGGTCACCCTCAGCTGTATAAGAAGCTCATGGCCAGACTGGGCTACATGAGAACTCTGAAAAGCAAACCAATAAGCAATTCCATGGGAATACAAATGAAGTAAAATATTTTGGTTTGTTATGACTTTTGTGTAAAAGCAGGATGGAGAGTATGAATATTTCCATTGGCAGGAGGCAACTTGTAAAAATTCATAAGTAGATAACTATAAAAATTTGATGTTCTCATAGCAACATAAAAGTATAAAACATAAAACATAAATACAGAAAGGAGAACTCAGAATAACATCCTAAAATATGCTCTCTTCCTAAAGTAAGGAACTGGAAAATTTAAGGACGTTTTTATTAAATAACTTAGAAATGCTGAGTTTTATAAAAGCAAAAATCATCATAATATAATATCATATGTGGTTTAACTTTTTTATACCATTCAGTTTTTAGAATAAAAGAGAAACTTCTGTTAACTAAAGGATTCAGGGATCTTTCTCTTAGTTTTGGCATAAGCCTCTTGATGTTGCATTGTTTTTTAAGTTTTTAAATTATTTTTGTATTTATAATATAAGTACATTTCCCCGCTTTTCCTCTCTCCATGCCTTGTCATATGTCTCCCCTTGCTCTTTGAAATTCATGCCCTTTCTTCTTTAAATGTTATTACATATATTTTTGATTTTTGTGTATGCGTGTATTATGTATATTTATTTTTGTATATACATATATATAGTATACACATTTATTTCTAAGTGTGTTAATACAACATGCCCAGTCTGAATAATAACATTAGAAAATACATTATTTTAGGGCTTATCCTACTTGGTTATATAATACCAACTGTTTTCCAATTGGACATATTGGAAGGGAGATATTTGAGAATATACTTAGACATAATGGTCACAGTAAGGTCACCATGCCAGAATGAAATGTATGTTCTGGTAGACCATGTTTCCTTAGTTGGATTATAAATCATGTGTTTTTAGAAAAAAAATCAAATGAAATAATTTTCTTTACTTTGTAAGAAATCAAACATCAAACACTTAGTTGATAATTGATATGTATTTCTTTGTAGATTAAAAGTTCTGAAATAAGTGTACATGTATATTTATGAACACTACTAAGTACTTTTGTAAATACAACTATACTGGTTTGGTTTCTAGTTTGTCATTAGGTTTATAATGCAGAGATGGTAGACTACCAGGAGATTTTGTAAAGTTTTTTTTTTAACTCTCATTTTTTCTTAAATTGTTTTTATGTTATTTTCAATAAGTCCCCTTTTTCCAAATAAAATAATTTGGAAGCTTGATATTAAGCATCGTATTAGAACTGAAACATGGAAACACATCAATTAGGATCATAATATTTTTGTTTTGTTTTTCAGGGAGACAGTTTCTTTTCACAATTTTTTAGTGTATCATGCAAACTCTCTGTGAAGCATGCTCCCACATTCGAGGGAACTCATTTTCTTATTGATTTACAGTACCAAAGTCAGCATGTATCACTGTACAGGATGCTGACACATGCTGGACACAACAGCTATTGCCACCTCAATTCACTTTGCCCACAAATGTTGCCCCTGACACAGAACTTTTTGCTGTTGTCCCCATCAACTCCTGTGGACAGCTTATTTACTGATGACCTGCTATCTCAGAATCAGTGTTGTGACTATAGTTCCCAGGAAAATAAATGTAGCTTCGTAAAGTGACTATGCATGAGGGCTGCTACAGTATCGAGACTCACAAACAAGTGGGCTCTTGGTGTCTCTCCTGGAGAAACTTTTCAATGCTAAGAAGAAAGTAAGATTTTTCCTTATTCTCTAGTATGTCTCTGATAATGAATTGCACTGCCACTCTGGAAATTCATTCTAGATTTCTATCTGCTCCAGTTCTGACTCCTAGACTCAAAATTTTATTGAAACTCAAAAACTCTTGGAAGTTCTTACACACATTGCAGTTATCAAAACAAATACAGAATGATCACCATGGGGGAAACACTGATGTTGTAGAAATGTTATTTTCTTAATTAGTTAATAGCAGAGTAAAGCACAGGCATTTATATGCATCGGGATAAAATGAGATGTTCAAGTATACTGACCGCCCTCATTTAACATAGGCTTATTTTAAGTTTTGCCTTTTTTATGTAATCCTGTGTTATTTTCTTACAATACTTGGAACAATGAGATAGGTATAATTAGTTGTATTGGAATGCCCATTCATCTATTATCAACAAGTGAACCAGGGCAGACACTGTTGGTTTTAAAAGTAACCCTCCTCTCCCACCCCCAAGTAAGGAGCTGAAAACAAAAGACTGTGTACCTGGTTACCTCCCATGCCATGACAGTTGAATATACCCACTTTTTCATTTTCTTTGCGGCCCATGTTGTCTAGGCATTGATTAGTTTCAACATTTCGTATCTGAAGAGAATAAAACAAAAATGAGAGGGTCAAACAATTTCAAATACTTAAGCCATAAACACATTTTGTTACTTGTAAATTACTGATCTGATTGTTGAATAAATAGTACACATTTGTAAGGAAATTCCCTCAGGAATGTGTTTTAAATTTACCTCATTTTTTTCTCCTTATGATTAGTCTTAATTCTAAACTCTTCCTAGTTTGAATTGAAAAAAAAAAATGTTGGGTTTTTTTTTGTTTGTTTGTTTGTTTGTTTTTTCTGAGACAGGGTTTCTCTGTGGTTTTGGAGGCTGTCCTGGAACTACTTTATAAACCAGACTGGCTTCAAAGTCACAGAAATCTGTTTGCCTCTGCCTGCTGAGTGCTGGGATTAAAGGTGTGCACCCCCAATGACCGGCTTAAAATGTTCGCTTTGAAATTAACATTTAATCAAGCAATAAATAAATAATTCAAAGTCTTTTAACTAAGTAAATGGTTCTTAAACTCCTAGAATCACATATAAAAATGACAGGAAATTTTATTTGTAATTGAGTTTATATTTTTATATTCCAATATGTTCTATCTTGACAAATAATAAGAATTAATTACATTGCTTTTTTTCTGTGACTAAGAGAGATTTGTACACTTTTTTTTATTCCAAATTCTAAACTTAATAGAGAGTTTTAATTCTAAAAAACAGTTACAAGTTCAATGCTGTTTCATATTGCAAATTCCACAAAAGTAGAATAAACTGCAAGGTGTAGACATAGGTTATTGCAATATAATCAAACATTGCATTAATTGCATAATTACCATAAAGTTAATAGTCATTTGAGATGCTTTAAAGTAAAAAGTCATGTCTTTATAATAAAGATGCTAAAATGCTTAAGTTAACCTTAACTTGTTATAACAGTAGCAAGGGGAAGAATACCTGTGTTAAATAAAGTATTTTTAAATCATTTTTCTTATTCATCACCCAAGTACATATTTACATTTATCTACCCTGACTCTGAAAATTCTGTACATTCTGAAATTACCTAGGTATTGTTTTTTACATGGCTATCATGCATTGTCTACTAAATGAGAGATATTTAATATAATTTTATAGAAGACAGAGGAAATGTATATAATTCAATTTCCAATTTTGTTCTTTTTTGAATGATTTTGTTTTTATTCGAAAGAAAATTATTTTACATGTCAATCACAGGTCCCTCTCCCTCCCCTCCTCTCCCCCCCCCCATAACATCCTACTCATCCCATACACTTTCTGCTCCCAAGGAAGGGTGAGGACTTCCATAGGGGTCTAAAAATTCTGTCATATTCTTTGGGACAGGGCCTAGGCCAACCCCCTTGTGTCTAGGCTCAGGGAGCATCCCTCCATGTGGGATGGGCTCCCAAAGTCCATTCCTATGGTATTTATAAGTACTGATCCACTATAAGAGGCCCCATAGATTTCCAAGGTCTCCCTCACTGACACCCACATTCAGGGAGTCTATATCAGTCCCATGCCAGTTTTGCAGCTATCTCTCTGGGGACCAAGAGTTTCCCTTTGTTCAGGTCAGCTGTTTCTGTAGGTTTCACCAGTCTGGTATGGACCCCTTTGCTCATCAGTCGTCCTCTGCATCTGGATTTCAGTTCAGTTCAAGGTTTAACTGTGGGCATCTGCTTCTACTTCCACCAGCTTCTGAATGAAGGCTATACAATGGCATATGAATTAGTCATCAATCTCATTATCAGGAGAGGGGACTTAAAGTAGCCTTTCCTCTCTTGCTTAGATTGTAAGTTGGTATCATCTTTGTAGATCTACAGATGTTTCCCTAGTGCCTGATTTCTCTTTAAACTTATGTCTTCCTCTATTATATTATCTCTTATCTTGCTCTCTTCTGTTCTTCCCCCAACTCCATCTCCCTGTTTCATCATGTCTTCCTCACCCCTCCACTTCTCCCTTTCTAATTCTCCTAGTTCCCTCCCACCTTCTCCTGTTCTCCCAATTTTCTCAGGAGATCTTCTCCCTTTCCCCTTCTCTCTTATGGTCCTCCTTGTTTACCCGCCTCTCCACAGCCTGGGATGCAAGCTGACAATCCTTTACTGTGTGTCTAAAATCCACAGATGACTGAGTATATACAATGCCTGTCTTTTTGTAACTGGGTTACCTTGCTCAGAATGGTTTCTTCGAGTCCATCCATTTGCCTGCAAATTTCAAGATTCCATTGCCTTTTTTTTTTTTTCCGGCTGAGTAGTACTCCATTGTGTAAATGTACCACATTTTCTCTATCCATTCCTCAGTTAAGGGGCATCTAGGTTGCTTCCAGGTTCTGGCTATTACAAATAATGCTGCTATGAACATATCTCAACAGATGCCCTTGTTGTATGAATGTGCTTCTTTTGGGTATATGCCTAAGAATGGAATTGCTGGATCTTGTGGTAGACTGATTCCCATTTTCTTGAGAAATCACCATACAGATTTCCAAAGTGGCTGTACAAGTTGGCACTCCAACCAGCAGTGGAGAAGTATTCTCCTTTCTCCCCAATCTCTCCAGCATAAACTGTCATTGTTTTTGTTTGTTTGTTTGTTTGTTTGTTTTGGGTTTTTTGTTTTTGTTTTTGTTTTTGCCATTCTGACAGGTGTAAGATGGTATCTTCAGAGTTGTTTTGATTTGCAATTCCCTGATGGCTAAGGATGTTGAAAACTTTCTTATGTCTCTTTCATCCATTTTAGATTCCTCTATTGAGAATTGTCTATTTATTTCTGTATGTCACTTTTTAATTGGATTATTTGGTGTTTTGGAGACTAGATTCTTGAGTTCTTTGTAAGCTTTGGAGATCAGCCCTCTGTCAGTTTTGGGGTTGGTAAATATCTTTTCCCAATATGTGGGCTGTTGTTTTGTCTTGTTGACAGTCCTTTGCCTTACAGAAGCCTCTCAGTTTCAGGAGGTCCCTTTTATTAATTGTGGATCTCAGTGTCTGTGCTATTGGTGTTATGTTCAGGAAGGGGTCTCGTGTACCAATTCGTTCAAGGGTATTTCCTAATTTCTCTTCTAATAAGTTCATTGTGGCTGGGTTTATGTTGAGGTCTTTGATCCATTTGGACTTAAGTTTTGTGCATGGTGATAGACATGGATCTATTTGCAATTTTCAACATGCCAGCATCCAGTTATGCCAGCACCATTTGTTGAAGATGCTTTCTTTATAACATTGTAGAGCTTTGGCTTCTTTGTCAAAAATCATGTGTTCAAAGTTGTGCTGGTTGATATCAGGCATTTCAACTAGATTCCATTGGTCTACCTGTCTATTTTTGTGCCAATACCAAGCTGTTTTCAGGACTATAGCTCTATAGTAGAGCTTGAAATCAGGGATGGTGATGTCTCCGGAAGTTCTTTTATTGTACATGGTTATTTTGGCTATCCTGGGTCTTTTGTTTTTCCATATAAAGTTGAGAATTGTTTTTTTTCAAGTGATTGCATTGAATCTGTAGATTGCTTTTGGCAAGATTGCCATTTTTACTATGTTGGTCCTATCTACCCAAGAACATGGAAGATCCTTCCATTTAGTGGTATCTTCTTTAATTTCTTTCTTTAAAGACTCAAAATATTATTAAACAGTTCTTCCATGGTATCGCAAAAATCATTTGAATAGCAGTAAGTCCTCAGTGATGAAATATGAAAATTTTTTATCACACTAGGTACAATTTGGAAGCGGCTAAATTCTCATGCCCTCTTTTAATAGGTGGAAATTTACTTCGGAATTATAGACACTTTCATCAATCTGAGCAGCCACCCAATGGATAGGGCAGACCTCACTGTGATTATTATGCTGAAAGCATTTTGGCTTCAAGAAGTACACCCAAATAGTGGTACACAGTTGGATTATATTTTCAAGCTGATTTACGTTGTTTGAAACTGAGCCCAAAAAGCAGATCATTTTCAAGATCAACACATGCACAATAAGTAAGAAGGTAAAAATTGATAGAATGTATAGTAAATAGGCCTGTGTGAAATTCACATAGTCCAATAAATCATACAATAGGTTGTTGAGTTATAACATCATACCACTTTTTAACTTGTGATTAAAGGTAGAACTTTACGGGTTCATGGCACTTGAACAGATAGAAGATAAAAGTTACAGTGTTATATGTAAAGTCATTTGTAAGGCTTTGTATCTCTGTCTGACAATAAACATCTCAAAGCATTTCTTCCCCAATGTAGAACCTGACAGAATTTTAGAGGAGCATTAAATAAAAATTTGACATTTGATTCTGATAAATTAAGTACAGAATTTTAAAACATCTCTAAGTTTTGGACTGGACAAGTGTTTAAATATCTAATTTAGGTATGGATTGTTTTTATTTGTGAACTCATTACAATGAAATGATTTTACAATAATAAAAAGAATGCCCAAAATATATTACCCTTAGTAACAATTTGTTATTGATCTACCATCTATGATATATAAAATTGATTTCTTTTCTTTGAAATCTCTTATGAGTTAAATAATTAAATTAAGAAACATTAAGAAAGTTCACATCTTATATAAAGCACTGCTTTGTGTAAGATAATACACAAATGAACAAAAGAAATAAAATTTCTTTCATTGTGGAGTTTACATTTAAGTATGAAAAAAGCAATAAAAACATATTCACAATGTTAGAAGATTAATATGTCTCATAGGCAAGGGACAATTAGCCTTGCCTAAGGGTGAGCCCCTAATTATCTTTTAAATACAAAATGGTCGGTAAACAGTTTCACTATGCTGTATGAATATATTTATGTATATGTTTGTAATAATGATAACCAAAGAAAAAGAGGCCATCAATCTGAGAGGGACTGGGGAGAGAGATGGGTGTTGTAAGAAGGAGGAAGTGGAAGGGGAAAGTAATAAATTATATTTTACTTTAAAACATTAATTTAAAAGGCCTTATAAAAATTCAAAGCACTTTAAGAGTAGACAGAGCAATGTAGGTGTCCTGTCTACAAGGGATCTGAGAAGGTACATTTTAGTTTTGTGAGATAGCAATCACAATT